CGGCTGCTGCTGTTGCTGTCGCTGCTGGCCAATCCATAGCAGTTCCACTTTCTCCAGATTAAGTCGCTGGCCAGATGCCTGGGCAAATGTTTCCATGGCCTGTAGGAAGGAGGGAACTGATTCCGCGCCATCCAACGTCACTTCCGTGTCATCTGCATATTGGCAGGCGGTGACGGGATTTGGGTCGGACGGTTGCAGCTTAATTCCCACCTCCTGGCTCCGGAGCCAGCATTGGAGAGCTTGGGCGACGAAGAGGTACAGCAGAGGCGCCAGGGGGCAGCCCTGCCGGACACCAGCCTCCATGTCTACCAGCCTGGACTTGTACCCGTTGACCATCGCCCGGGCTCGGGTTTCGCTCAGAAGCAGACGTACCCACGCACACAGCTGTGGCCCTGCCCCCATCGCCTCCATGGCCGCTAGGAGAAAGCCGCGATCCACTGTATCGTATGCTTTGGCAAAGTCCAGGAATGCCAAAAGCCCTTGGCGGTTCTGCTTGCGGAGGAGGTGTGACAGGTGGCGCAGGAAGAGTACGCTGGCCCCAATCAGGCGCTTGGGGAGGAAGGCGGATTGCTCGGGGGTGATGACCCGTCCCAGGGCGGGGCCCAGGCGGTTCGCCAGTACCTTAGCAAGGAGCCGGTAGTCCGAGCATAGTAGTGTGATGGGGCGGTAGTTGCCTGGGAGCTTGGGGTCGCCTTTTTTATAGAGCACTGTGATGATCCCTTCAAGGAAGCCTGCGGGCACCTGCCCGGTCATGCCAATGGCAGTGAACAGGCCTGCCATGGTGTTACCTATGGCTGACCAGAATTTCCTGTAGATGTCGGCCGGGATCCCATCCCACCCTGGGGCCTTGCCAGGTGCGCTCTTCTTGAGTGCCTTCCGCAGTTCGGTGGCTGTGATCTTTTTGGCTCCAAGCTGTTCATCTGCCTCTGCCGGGAGCTTAATGTTGGCTGCGGTGAGGGAGTTCAGTACGGCTTGGCGGGCCTGGGGGCAGATGAAGTCCGGGGCCTTGCTCACATCCTTCCAGAAGTCGGCTACCACCTGGGGCAGCTGAGCGGGGTTGGTAACAAGTCGGCCGGACGAGGCTTGCAGGGCGACAGGGGCTGGTTGTTGGTCTACAGCATGTATGTATATATGTATGTATGTATGTATGTATGTATGTATGTATGTATGTATGTATGTATGTATGTATGTATGTATGTATGTATGTATGTATGTATGTATGTATGTATGTATGTATGTATGTATGTATGTATGACGTTGATTACACTGTGGGCTGAAAAGCCNGGGGGCCCAGGGCCGAAGCACAGCGCGGGGGGCGGGTG